GAGTCCGATCGCGGTGGGAAGGACCTTGAAGATTCAGAAGGAGCTGGGGTCCCAAGGGAAGAGTCAGTGACAGGTGTTTCAGCTCTAGCTCTGCATCGCTCAGCTCCAAGGGGCGGGGCACAGCGCTGATGCACCCCTACACCCCTGGCCCACCACCCAGGGCACCCCCGGATCTCACACGTCTAATACTCTCACATCCCCAGGCAGAGAGAAAGTGTTAACAGAAGCACCAGTGGTCTTTGTTCTCACGCTGTCAACCACTTGCAGGAACACACTCGGCTGGGGGGGGAGGGAGGATGGGGGGGGGGCTCTGATTCTGGTGACCCAGACACAAAAGGCCGATGGGCAGATCCGAGCTGTCAGTCCCCATGACCGATCGAGCAGGGGCTGCCGTGCAGGGTCCCCGAAACACCTGTTGGGTCCCGGCTGAAAACAAGACTCACCCAGCAGCCAGCCCCCCTGCGGGCATCCCGCGTATCTCGAGAGGACAGGCGATCGCCCTGAGAAAGACCGAAGGACACTCAGCTCGCTCAGGCGTGAAGCAGCCACGGAACAGGCCAGGCACCGAGACTCGGACGCACCGGAGCCTCTGGTCCGAGGTCAGGGTGTCCTCCACGCCAGACAACGCCACCGCCTGTCCCCTCAGACTCTGCGATCGCTCGCCCTGAGGGCTCAAGAGCACAAGGGACCCCGAGGAAAGACCAGGGAGGCAGAGGCGCCTGGCCCACGGCCGTGAGGGCAGGGACTGGTCGCGAGGGCACTCAGTCCTGACCGCCGCCCAGAGCGGGCTTCCTGCAAGGACCCTGTGACGACCCAGGGCGTCGGAGGTTCCACTTCCCGGCACCGCGGGCGCCTTCCTTCCAAACACGGGGCCTGGGACTCGAACAGAACAACCTGCTCAACCTCAGGTCGGTTTACAGTAGGGAGAAGTGGGAACGCCAGGCTCAGGGTCAAAGGTCAGTCGGCGTGCCTGCACTGCTCACGCCACGCGGCCACTTTAATTGTGGGATTGACGGGAAGCGGGGTCCAAGCCCTTGGCGAGTTCACAGAGGCGGTGAGGAGGAGGAGGGAGCAGCGGGAGCCTTTCCAGCCACGGGGGGGTAAAGCAGGACGTGCGTCCTTCCTCGGAGTGGGCCAGCCCCACCACGTGGACACTCGGCCACTCAGCCACGCGGACACTCGGCCACTCGGCCAGCACTGAACAGAGGTGCTCACACTCAGTTACTTGGGAGACGTTGGGCTATTTTCAGTGTGGCTAGGAGCAAACATGAACCTTCAGAGAATCAGAGGTAGCCTTTATCTGCATTTGCTTTTTTTAAAACGAAAAGGTATTTAGAAACCACCTTCTGTAGTGAGTTGGCTACGCCAATACATTCACTGGGGACAGTCACATGGCAAAACGTACCCAGAAAGCACGAGGCGAGGGCCCCACGACGGCATCACGCACCAGGTGACTGGCTGGGCGGACGGCTCCCGGGCGGCCTGACCACGCACAGAATCACACCCGGGAGGGGGTGCGAGCAAACACGGCTCCCCTGGCAGACACCGCGGGCCGGCAGGACAGCGCGGGGTCGCGGCCTCCACAGCTATGCCGGTTTCGACACAACAGTGACCTTGTGGCTTCACAGGACGGCCGACCAGAGAGAAGCCCGGAGGCGTCACTCTCGCCGGACACAGGCCACACAGACGCCTGCTCTCCACTCGGCCAAGTGCTCCCGGGGTCACGGCAAACGACCAGGAACCCAACAAGCCACAGCAGCACCCACGGACATGCCATGAACCCTCTTAGACGACGCCTGCGGACCTCCGTGAGCACACGCCCCTTCCCCAGGCCGCAGGCTCCTCGGGAACGAGGCCAGGGCGGCGCTGCCCTTCACGCACGGCCACCGGCACCGGCAAAAAAGGAGCCGCCACTCTCACCCAGAACCCGGCACCAGGCGGTCACAGGGCCAAGCACGGCTCCTACTTACAGTCAGTCAGACAAGAACGGCGATGCGGGTCGGACATAATTACAAAAGGAGGTTGTCAAAATCAGTGCAATTATTTTGAGTTGAAATTTTCCTTACAAAAAAGCGTGTGTGAGACGAGAACAGCCCCGTGGCCGGGCTGCAGAGCCCGAGAGGACAGCTTGGGGGAAGGGCTAAAATAGAAATAAGAGAGTTGCATTCTGAAAGTGAGGCGTACAAACACCGAGGACGTTTCTCTACTGTACATTCCTTTTCTCGCGAGTGTGAGGAGAGATGAGTCCGAGAGAGGTCACAGGGAGTGTCTATGGCTTGTCCGGGCCACGGGGATTGTCCACGGTTGGGGTCATGCCAACTTCTAAAGTTCCTCCGACTGGAACCGCCTTAGTGTGTAGGGAAATGCCCATGAAAATCCTTTAACTGTCCATCCACTCAAAGTCCCGCCCAGGACCCCAGATCTTAACAGCCCCCCAGAACAAGCCCAGCACCTCCAGGACTCAGGGCGGACAAGCCGTCCCGGCCCCAGAGGCCCTTGGGGACATCGAGTCCCCGCAGGGCGCTTGGCTGGTCCGCCCTTCACATATTGTATCAAATATATAATTTGAGTGAAAAACTGCCTTGCAAAAAGAAAATTTAAATCTCCCCGCAGATCAGTGTAACATTACATTGCTGCATATATAAGAAAAACAATTCATCCAGAAAACTTACATTTGTGGCTTTCAAAAATAAATCAGCCGGCAAAGCTGCAGGTAAACTTTAGGCGACTCGTACAAGCTGGGAAAATGACTTCTAGCTTACAAATCAGGTGCCACGTGCACCAGGACACCCACACGGGCCAAACCAAACCAGAGCAGAAAGGCAAAAGTAACAGCAACATCGGCACTGAGCAACAGTAAACACAACATACAACACGCATCAGCGCCGCCCCCCGCCCCCGCCCCCGCTGCAGGAACGGAGCGGGCACCCGCTCCTAGCCGCACGCGGAACCGGGCCAACAGCTCCCTCCCGGAGCCGCGGCCAGGGCTCCGTTGCGGGTCCAGGGCGCACACATTCACTCTGGGGAGCGTGAGGGCAACCCCAAGAAGCAACGCGATCTGGGACAAGAAAAGCGGGGCCCTTCTGTGCCGCAGCCAGCGAGTCACTGTCTGCGTGAGGGCCCCTCAGACAGAAAACCTGGCCCAAACGGAGACAGAGGAGCCCCTTCTAAAAGCAGAGGCTCGCCCAGCCTCACCGAATCACCGAGCCCGGCCCCCTGCGCGCGCGGCACAAAGGTCTCTTCTGCAAAATGGCGACTTTGATGGCTCTGGGGGAGTTGGGGCGGGGCTTGTCGAATGGGACAGACAGAAGTGAGGAAATGGGGCTGCGCTGATTTTCCTCAGAGAATATTTTCAAGCAGCTACGAAGGGTCCCAACAGAAGCATCTAATTGGAGAGCTCTTTTAAAGAGACGAGATAAATGCCCGTTTTTCTTTGATACGAATCCCAATTTCTACACCATCATTTCATTTCACATTCAGTTTGCTTCAAGCAAGGCACACCTTACTAACAGTGGGGTGGGGCGCAGACAGCCTGAGCCTGAGGTGGCCCCGGGCGGGGGCGAGCAGTCAGGAGGCCGGGCGGCTGCTGATGCCTTTAGCAGTGTAACATTTAGCAGTGCTCCATTCATCAGTGGAGCGTTTATGAAACAAGCACGGGCTACAGAAAGGAAAGTGCTGTGGCCACTGAAAAGCAAATGTTGCCTCGAAATAATTTGTAAAGAATTTGGGTGTAATTTTCTGCCAGGTTTTAGCTTAGAGCTTCATGGCCAAGGGCCCCCTCCACAGGCTCTAGACGGGGTCCCAGATGTCAGGCAGCCCCGGGCCCGGAGGCCGCAGCGAGGCCAGGAGCCTGCACTTCCTCCAAGCACCACGCCGCCCGGACCGCGATCCTGTCGCACATGTGACAAACACGCCTTTGAAGCAAACAGGGTTCGATGATCCTAAAAGTGGCTGGAAGCCGACCTAACTTGAGAGCGGGTGAGTGAAGGTCCCTCCTGGGCGGGAAGCCCTGGGAGGCGCCAGGAGCGGGCGGTGTCCGGAGCGGGGGAAAGTGCCACTTGCCAACAGAAGGACAGGGAGCTGCGACGTTTCTCAGAGCAAAGGCTTCTGTCGTTGAAACAGACGAGATACAGCAAGAAGAGACGTATGCCACCGATGAGACACCACATGCACACACGTACACGCACGCACCACTCAGCGTAGACGGCTGCACGAACCATGTCCACCCTTGTCACCGCCGCCAAAATCCGGGCCGAGTGTCCACGACAGCCCCTCGCACTCCCTGCCCCCGGCCCTCGGAGCACAGACAGGAGACAGTGGGCGCCCACTCCAGCGGAGGCAGCCCGGTCGGGACCCCCGCCACCACGGCGCCAGAGGTAAGTGTCAGCAGGGACAGGAAACAGCACGAAGCAGCACGGGAAGGCTGTCTCCTTCCTCGAGTCTCTACAATGGACGTGGACCGGACCCTCGATGGAGCTGCTGCCGGGACGAGCCCACGTGGCACAGAGCCGTCGGCTGTCACCTTCCAGCTGTCGTGGCCTCCCTCTTAGTGCAATGGTTTCTGGGGTGGCACCCCCACGCCGGGGCCCAGAAGGCAGATCCCTGCGGCAGGGTCTGGCCCTCACGCTGGCGGCCGTCAGCCGCCCTCCGGGGACAAGGCGCCTGGCAGAGCCCCGCCGACGGCTTTCTGTGGGTCTCCGCACACAGATCCTATGACACCCAGCACACGGACGTGCTTCCCAGGGGCGGAAAGGTCCGTACATTCCACTTGTGCTTCATCGGCTGGGCCACACCCGGCGAGGAGGCAGGGCGGGCGCGAGTGAATGCTGTAAGCGCACCGGCCTGAAGGTACAGGCGACAGTCTACACGGGGCGGTCGCTGTCAGTGAGTCCGCCGTGCACTCTGCGCCGAAGCTGAGACCCACTGTGCGGCCTCCCGGCCCCGACACCAAGCACAAGAAGTCCCCGTGCCAGGAACTGAGACAGCGCCGAGCGCTCACATTAATACTGCAACCAGATATATATATTCTCTACATTAAAGACATACAGTGAAAGGATTGTACTGTATCATCACCACAGACCCGTATTCTTTAGAAACTTTGGAAAATAAATGTCACAGTCCTAGAGGACCAATCTCACCATTAGACTGTCGGCATACCATCTTTTTTCTTCTTTTTTTTTGTTTTTTTAAATAAATTTTTATTAAAATGGCACTTGGCTGCCAATCTCTCTGGACCTAGAAATGTTGAGTGGGCGTGGTCTCTGGTGTCCCAGCCCCTTTCCCCGCGGGTGGGGCACCCACCGTGGGTCCCTAAGAGCTTGCGGAGCCACGTCAGGGCACACGAGTGTCGCGTGGGACACGCGTGAGTGACAACGTCAGAATGGTCAAGGCTTTAAAACCACAATAGTGTTTGCGTTGCTTTCACCCTCAGAGAACGCTCACAGCTAGTTTGAGCCCATCAATTCCATACAGAATCACGTGTTAAAAACAAGTTAATCGAATGACCAAATAAATTAAAAATGTTTTAAAGCCCTGAGTTCATAGACTGCTTTTAGGAGATGTTTTTAGGAAATACGGGACTATGTAATAAGCAGCGGATAGATTTTGGCAAACCATCTCTCCTGCGACAGTGGGGTCTCATACAGGTCTGCAGCTCAGAACGAGTGTGAAGTCCGGACGGAAGGCATTCTGGGAAAGGAGCCTCGGCTGAGTCCACGACGCGTGGTGTCCAGTGCTGGCTGCCACGGGGCTGGCGTCGGTTGGTCTGAGTGTCGCTGGTCTCGTGTGAATCCGACTCCGCACACAATCGTAAACACAACATGTCAAGCAAAGTACATGGTGCGCAGCGTGTCCTGGTGGACCTGGACCGCCTTGGCCAGCGCCTGGTGGTCCCGCCCGTTACTCTGCCCGGAGGTATGGCTTCCTTCAGCACTGGGGACAGGGACAGAGGCAGCCTGGTCAGCTCGGCCGGGCCACGCCCCACGCCCGGCCGGGACCACGCCCAGCGCCCGGACAGGACCACGCCCCGCTGGGACCACGCCCCCGCGCCCGGACAGGACCACGCCCCCGCGCCCGGACAGGACCACGCCCCCGCGCCCGCCCCTGCGCCCAGACGGCTGCTAACAGCTGGGCTCGGGGCATCAGGGCCTCTGTTGGCTCCGGAAAAGCAGCCGCGCCAGGCCAGGACCACGCCCAGCGCCAGGCCGGGACCACGCCCCCGCGCCCGGACAGGACCACGCCCCGCCGGGACCACGCCCCCGCGCCAGGACAGGACCACGCCCCGGGCCCAGACAGCTGCTAACAGCTGGGCTCGGGGCATCAGGGCCTCTGTTGGCTCCGGAAAAGCAGCTGCCACGGCCTGTCTGGGAAGCGACCCCTGCTGGGGCCTGTGGCCAGGAGAGGCTGCACTCACCTGTCATGTTCTTTATCCACCAGGTGGTACCTGGCCCGGAAGGCCACCAGGTGAGCGTAGTATGCTGGCGCTGGGATGGACACCGAGCGCGTGCAGCGCACATAGGTGTGACACAGCTGGTAGGTGAGGATCTGCAGCTCGTCGGAAGAGAAACGATTGTCATCCCAAAGCACGTGGTAGTGGGAGGGCCTGCTTGTTCCCTGAAAGCAGACAGGGGGTCAGAGACGCAGCGCTCACCGCGAGGGCACCGCCAACAGGCTGTGCCCGGCTGCTCACCGCTCACACGCTCCTTACCAAGGACACGGTGTTTAGCGAGACAGCGACGTTATTAAACATCATTGTAAAAGGCACCAGGAGATGTATTTCATCAGGCGTGTAAACACAGACCGCACACACTTATTCACATACAAAAAACCATAGGAAAGATATAAAACACTAGAGAAATGTTTGTTCCGGGGCTGCACCACCGTATAGATCGGGTTTCTACAATGTCTTATTTACAGGCAAGAAGACCATCTTTTAAAACTCACTTAAAAAGGGAGTTGGCACACGCGTGTTACTTATGCAGTTTGTGAAGCTGGAAATCTTTTGAAACTGAAGGAAGTGGGAGCTGGCAGCCTTGCCCCCCAACATGGGGCACAGAAGGCGCCGGCGTGGGCACCCTCACAGCTGCCACACTGCTCAGCCGGCCCACCCGCCCGCCTCCCGCAAAGTCCCGCCTGCCTCCTCCGGTCCGGCCACGGCTGCCCGCTCACCCCTGTGCTCGGCCCAGTGCCAGATGTCACGTCCCCGCCCCACCCCCACTTTGCCATTTCGTTGGTGGCTGTCAAAGGAGTGGGGGGCGGGGTGTTCTGTGTAAGGGGGCCTGCCCCTCGAGGCCCATGTGTCCCAGCCCTAAGTGTCTCAGCAGAGGACAGGCGCCCCCGCCCCTCCGTGTTCGCACGTGGGCCCGTGTGGAAGGGCGCCTGCTGGAGGCCGTGAGTGGGAGAGGGGCTGCCCAGGGCCCCGCAGGGAGGCCACTGTCTCCAAGGCTCAGCCTCTCTTTTTCCTCTTAGCAACTGAACATGGAAGAGCCGTTCCGGGCCTTGGGTGCACCAGGCCCACAGGCCACACCTCGGCGTCGGGCAGTAACAATTCCCAGGAAACAGTCCAACTACCAAGTTCACAGTGATGTCTCAAGTTTTAGGTTCCCGTTCTCTGGGGAGGGTTACTCAAGTCCTACACAGACTCAGACCGAGCCCATGTGCTGGGCTCTGAGGCAGGCAGCACCCAGGCTGGACTCCCGGTGCTGAGCTGGCAATGGCTGCCGGCACCGCACCCGCTGGCAGCCCTCCCTCAGGACCACCCTCTTCCCCGAGAAACGGGCGAGCCAGAGACACTTCCCCAGGTGCCCAGCAAACACACGTGGGGGTGACACGCGTGGACCCCACCACGGGGTGTGAGCTCACCGAGGCGGCCCCTCGTCCCTCACCGCCCTTCCCACATCTCCGGAGCCCTCCTCGTCACCTGGTGCGAGGCCGACCTTCACCAGGTGGTCTTGTCACCTGAGCTCTCACCCCCCTTGCTAAGCACCAGGCCCAGGGACACCCTGCCCCCACCCGTGCGCCTGCACCTGGCACTCACTGCTCCTGCCTGGACCTCACCTCATCTGAAATGCACCCCAGCTTCCCAGTGGATCCCTTGTCCCCAACGCCCGGTGGTCCCGAGCCCCTGACCACGGCTGGGGCCCCTGCTAAGTGCTCCCCACTGAGTCCCACCCTGAGGGTCACACCTGCATGTGTTTGCTGAGTGTGACCTGACATCACAGACACTGAGAGGACCAAAGGGGACCCTTTGCCTCACCTGGATGCCAGCGTGACTGCACAGGTAGAAGTCGAACTCGGTCGGGTGGGTGATCTTCGTGTCCACGGTGGTGCCTGCTGGAATGTTTCCGCTCTTCCCGACCTTCAGCAACACAGGAGTATCAGCCGTGCCCGGAGGGGGACGTGGGGGCAGCCGAGGAAGCCCAGCAAGCCCTGCCCCCCGCCCTGAGGCTGGGCCCCCCTCCACGGGCCCTGTTTAGCTCTTTAAATTGACGGACACATTCGCTCAGCACTTTTCGGACCGGCCACAGCCGTGGCTACTCACTAGCGGGTTCTCTTTCAGAGCCGCCTCCCGGCCCTTTATCAGCTAAAGCACGTCTCTGCCGGACCCGTGGGACTCACAGGGCCACGTGCTCACCAAATGGAGGACAGCGCGTCTCTAATGCCCCAGGCCCGGACCCCACACAGCCCTCCGAGGGCAGCGGCTCCCAGAGCCCGGCAGGCCCCGCGGCGAGGACGCACCCGCTCGTTCTTGTCCGTGCAGAAGAGCCGCGTGTGGTGCCGCTTCTGCACCACGATGAAGGTGATGCCCGGCTGGTAGTCCTTCTCCAGCTTGATGCAGGCCTCGCGGATGGCCAGCAGCTCGTGGTGCAGGACCTGCGGGGACAGAGGGCGTCAGGCCAGTGTGTCCTCAGGGTCTGCTGCCGGGAACAAGTCACTTAGGAACATGCAGCACGTGACACGTAGCTGCAGCCACGGCTCCGAGTCCCACGGGCGTGTTAATGGCTGCGTGCTCTGCCTTTTGGGACCTACGCCTCCGTTTGTATAACGGAGAGACCGACACCCAGGCCTCAGGGGCCCGTGGTTTCAATGAGAAGCTGGTAACGCGCTCAGCACAGAGTGTGCGAAGGGCTGGTAAAGGCCACAGTGGCATGAGGCGCGGCGGGGGACACAGCACAGCCCTCACCACGTCTGTGTGGAGAAGAGCGAGAGGGCCTAGTAGAAAAGACACTGGCTTAGGCGTCGGAGGCAAGTCCAAGTCCTCATCTGACACGAGCAGCTGTGTGGCTGGGGGAAGCCAGGCGCCCTCTCTGATCCCGGTTTTCACTCTTCCGATGGGACCACCGACCTTGCAAGCTTGCTGTGCTGACTAAAGTGACGTGCAAAGCGTGTGCCCGGGAGCCCGGAGTTAGGGCACAGGGACGGCGAGGCCCCATCTCCTTCCCTCCGTCTGTCTTCAGAGAAGACGGGGGACGTCCCCCACACACCCCTGAGGCTTCAGTGACCGTCCCCACTAAACACTGTTCTGCTGCCCTGACTATGCCGCCAACCCTACAGGAGACGAGGGCGGAACTAGACAACGAAGGCTGGAGCTCAGAGGAGCACCCTTCCAGCCGGAGGGAGGCGGCCCGGAGTTCTGCGCAGGCGGTGCCACGGGTCTGCCGGCCTTGGCACCCAACAGGCGAGGGAGCGTCCAGCCCATCCCCCTCGCCCCGCCCTGCACCCAGCAGCTCACCCAGGCACCAGGGCGGCCCTCAGGGTCCTCCCGCCCGCTCCCCGCCCTCTGCCCGCTGAGAGCATCGCCCGGTGACATGTGTGTTGGGGACGTGGGCGGGGAGCAGAGGGGGCAGTCACCAGCCAAGGGGCACACGCAGGGACAACCTCCGAGACCCGGGCGGGACCGACTCCTGGGCCCAAGGCCCCGACCTGGAGGCGCTGCGGGCTGCTGTTCCCGCTCCCCGCCCTCCTGCGGTGCTCCCTGCGCTGTGACGCACCCGCCTTCCAGACCGCCCTCCCTCACGTCCCCCAAGATGCTGCCCCTCCCTCCACATCCAAACAGCGGCCGGCCGGGCCTGCTGACTGCGTTCTAAGGGCTCCCAGCCATCCGCCCCGCCCGGCGTGCTTCTCCGTCACGGCACTCACTGCCTGCCCTGCGCACTGCAGCACGATGGGGCGCCCACCCCACAAAGCCTCCCCCACACCCTGCCTCCGCCCGCACAGCTCTCCAGCCCCAAGCCCACCCCTCGCTCCTCCCGCCCCGTCTGTCCTGCCTCAGCGTCGCCGCCCGTGCCCACCGTCCCCGTGACCTGACAAGCACAGGCACAGGGGGCGGTAGGACAGGCTGTAGATCGCACCCCCTTCTCTGCAGAGACCCCGAGAAGCCGCTCGGCCGGACAGACAGGCAGACCCCAGACACGCCGAGCACAGAGCGCGGAGGGCCCACCTGCTGGAACTGCCCCTCGGACACGCCGTCGCGGTAGAAGATGATGCGCGTGGGCTTGAAGCGCGTGGACTTGTAGAACTGGATGAGCAGCTCGCGCACCATGGCCGCCAGGTCCTGGATGATCTCCTGGCGGTGCTGCTGCACCCGCACGGTGGCGCAGTAGCGGTTGGGGTGGGCGTCCATGCTGCCCACGACCTGCGGGCAGGAGGCGGCGCGTCAGGAGCAGTGCTGCCGCTTCTCTCGGGCGGCGCCGGCCTTCCTGGGCTCCCCGTGCGGAGGGAAGCTGGCATTGGCCCCGTGCCTGGCACGGAGCCGGGGCTGGACCCACGAGCTGCCCTGGCAGAGGGAAACCCAACAGGTGGCTCCGGACAAACGACGAGCACACACGGCCACACGGCCCTCTGGCAGCCCCACCAGGGCCGACGCTCCCACCCCCGAGGAGGCTGGGCTCAGCCCGCGAAGGGCAGCGGCCGGGTGTCAGCAGGGTCACGTGAACCGAGCCGCCACACCGCCTCCTGGGCAACCTCAGAGTTAGGGAGGAGGGAAGAGGACTTTGGTTCCAGCCGCGCACGTGCTTAAAAAACAGGGCCGTCAAGCCTCG